AGTGACAGAGAGACGGAGTGCGGGTAGGAAGGAAGAGGAGGGAAGATCGTTTATATTAATAAGTCCAGATGAATAAGTTTAAGAATTGAATAGGAAACGTTCTGATTATGTACACAGTTGTTGTAGTCGTACATTTGAGAGAAATGGAAAAGTAAATTGCAGGAGATTAAGCGAATTTGTGTTTAACACTGTATAGTAAATGATTGAATTATGAATCTTTATTCCATTTTCATAGTATCACCATCTAAATTTTATTGGTTCGCTATGAACTTGCTTCATCTTGAACACCGTATTTATATCTTTAACTTAATCTCTGACACTTTATTTTTTCATTTCTCTGAAGTATGTAATGATAACAACAGGTATATATGTAATTTGAATGTTTCATAAATTTATTCTTCTGCCCTTCACAATTGAAACTGTCTATTATCCTCTCTCTCTATCATTGATGGATGATAGTTTTACTGACTCAGTGGCTCAATGGTAGAATACTTGCCAACTACTCACACAGTGTGGTGTTCGACCCACTGCCGATGTGCTTTTCAACCCCTCTTAGCCAGTATTAAGCCCAATAAAGAGGGGACGTTGGACGTGAGGCTGGTAGTCCCACCCTATATAAAATAAACATGATTGTTACTGAGATTTCAAACGTCGAGCTCGAAGCCTCATGTTCAATTGTGGATACAGGATTAAAGTTAAAGTTTTAATGGCCAGTAAGATGTACTAATTTATTTCATCTGTGAACAAACTGCGAATATTTCTAACCTGTATTCATTTGACAGAAAACACCTTATGATTTCATAAAATTATGTCGTTCTGCAAAACGTTTATTATTTTAATAAACTAAATTGTATAAAGCAAATTAAAATATTTCCCGTTTGAAATTTCTATTATTTTGGAATTCATCAGTTGGATAGACACATTTCCTGGATTCCACGACTATCCACCATCAACTAAACAGCATCGCATTAGCCTGTACTAAAAGCTGTTTTATCAATATATACTGGTTGATAATGATTAGCAGTGGAATCCAGAATGCCCATTTCACCCTATTTGAGACTCATCAACTGGATGTACGTGTCAGCCACAATTGAGTGGTGTTCCCCTTAAGAATTGAGCCCTGAACAAATCGTTCCAAGTGCAAAAATTATTCACTAGGCCATGAAAGCCACCGTTTGTACAATGTGTATCACTTACTATTTAGTTTTAAGGTTAATCTGCACCTCACACTGATTCATTCCGTTGGACTGAGAGGCTCAGTATTTATTGACATGCTGGCCCCTAGTACGGATGCTTCAGCGATATCTTAGAATTAACATGAAATTATTTTCTTTTGATGGTGACTAGCAGTGGTATCCAGGATGCTCACTTCGTCCTATTTAGGAGTGGTCAGCAGAACGAAAAAATAATATAATATAAATATAAGTAATAAAAAAAAATAACATAATTCCAATAATTAGAATTTCTCCGTTTATTTCATGAAAAAGATTTGTGAATCGAAGACGCTTAACAGTCATGCATATTTATATTTTCGGGAATAATTTAAGAACTGAACAGTTCACATGAATTATGAATTAGGTTTTATTATTATCATTATTAATATTCAAGTTAGTATTAGTAGTATTGCATCATGCATTTATATTTGAATAACTGTACAAGTTAACAGTAGTAATATATTCGTGTATATATATATATATATATGCAACACGAATGATTCACACAGACTGATCTCTCATTAAAAGAAATTGTAAACAAATACATAAATGATTTGAAATATTTATTATGTAATGTTTTCCTGTTTTTTCTAGAAGAAGGAGATATATATTTTGTCAACTTTCAGAATGAATGTTGAAAGTCTATCTGTATATCCGTCTATAAGCGTATGTATGTGGTGTGGATATATGTATATGTTTATTTATAATGCATGTGTATATTGTAATCAACTGTAGACGAACTGACAGCGTATACAGTAGCAACAGTAAGTAGCAGTAGGAGTAGCACTGGCGAAATGGAGAAGGAAAAACCGAAAATATGAAGCCAATAAGAGTATACACAAAATTGTGATTATCATGATATTGATGATGCGAGGAAGACAAAGAAGAGGAGCCAGAAAGAAGAGTATGGAAAGTGAGATAAAGCTGCACAGATTTCTGTTATCATATATATCCTATAGGCTGATATTAAATGGCATTGCTTAAAGAATACGAGTAAATTAATGCCAAATATTTATCAACCAATACATCTATACAAATGTCTATAATATATTAATATGAATAGACCAACAAATAGTCGAAAAATAAATGTATAAATGATAGACAATAAAGAATAAATGGCTAGACAGGCTAACGCATAGATAGACGGACTAAAAGGATAAATGAGGAGAAAAGTTTAATAAATATTCCATGAGAGCATAGTCATTTTCTCTAGACAAAACAGGCTCTCCGTTATTCATTTACTTTCTCAAGCAATTCGAAGAGAAAGCGATAGGATTCAAGACAAAAATAATAAGTAGACGTGTGTGTGTGTGTTTAAAATAAACAAGTCAACAAATATTTCTAACTGACTTTTGTCATTTTCTAAAGTCAAAATATAAAAAGGCAAAAACAACATCAACAAGGATAGAGCGAGACAAAAAGAGATGCAGCAATGAGAGATTATGCTTACATATTTGTGTGTGTATATATTATTTTACAGAAAACAAGACAAAATACGTAAAAAGAAGTAGTTGAAGAGGCGAATAATTAACTGTTACTTAATTGAACAGTATTACTGTCAGTAATTTCAGTAGTATTAAACATAACGTCATTATGATAGGTAGTGGTAATATTAACGGTATCATTATTGTTAAGTTTAATATGATAAAAAACAAACAAATTTGGATCATACAAGCTAATTAGCATAGGTTAGTCATCATGGTCGTTGTGGCAATGAAAGTAAGTTATATTTGTAATAATAATAATAATAAAGGTACTGACCATAAAAACAAAAAAATACTTGATATAAATGTCATGAAATGCAATCTTTTGGAAGAAAATTTACAGACATATATATGTGCATGTCTAGGAGGCGTACGAGTAAACGTGTTAATAAATTATGCCCGCAGACAACATAGACACTAATGTGAAAATGAAATAAGAAGAAGAAGAAGAAATGAACTGATGAAAATACTATCAACTTTTTTCATAATACTTTTTATGAACTAATTAAATAATAATAGTAATAGTAGTAATAATAGTACTAATAAAAGTAATTATATTGTACGTGTACGTAGTCGTGGTTTCTTAAACAATTAAAAACAACAAAAAGTGTTAAGATATATAGAGAGCAAAAACTAGATAAGAAAAGCGATAATTGCAAGGGAGAAGAAGAAATGTAACACTGACCGACAAAGCAGTTACATTTGAAAATATTTATCTCAAAATTTAAATTATTAAATAAAAGTACTAACTGCTCAACATATAGAAAAAAGAGAAAACATAACGCAAGACTAAGTTGTCTTTTTGTTTTGTTGTTACGAAAGTATTATAGAGAGATAACGTGATAACTCTTAATAATCAAGACTAGATTAGTAGAAGAGATATTATCATCGCTTTCTTTCTTTCTATTTTAGAAATAAAGAGGACGATAATATTTCCTCTTCCTGATAAGAGTAAATCCTTTGAGTCTACTGGCTATTTTTGTTTTACTTGTTGATTAACTTTCAAAGGTGGCTAATGCAAGACAACGAGATAAACAGGCACTTAATGTATTCCTTTGAAATTAGTTATTTTTACGATTCTAAGAGAATTTGTGTATATGTGTTAGAGCAGCATTTTTACCTATGTTATTGCTGTTATCCAAGACTTTAGCTCATTTAAACAAATTAACAAGAAGAGGCAGTAACAAAATGAACTAAAACTGCAATCTATGAGGTTCAGTAATCTTGATAAGTAGAACAACAAGACATTGCCTTCATCGGTGAATAATTTGCGAAAAGAGTAGACCATATATATATATATATATATGTCAAGACCTGAGCAGCAACTAAAGTTATATTTGTCCTTTGCGAAAATTTTCTTTCAATGAGAAAAGCATAGAAAGAGAAAAGTAATAAAGGACAGAGTGAACTGAATGAAAGACATGTTTGCTTTGTTTTGTGTTACTTATTTCTCACAAGGGAGCAAGTGTATACACTCCCACTCCCAAATAAATATACTTTGCAATTTCTCATTTTTTGTTTTCAATATTACTGAAATTCTTTCCTATTTTTTGTTGTTATTTGTATTAATTCTTGACTTTATCGTTTGTTAGTTTACTTGACGTTATGTTTTGTTTTGTTTCTTTTCCACTTATGATAGAATTTATTTCTGAATAATCAGAAATGATTTAAATACATCGCCACTGAATTTGTTCTGCATTTTTAAACAATATGAATCAAACAGTTTAGTAAATAACGAGAAAAAGTTACTATATTTTAATCATAATTATAATTACTATTATTTCATTATGTCCACTGGATTGGTCTGATTGACATTTCCACTGGACACAAATGGATAAAAGACTATACACAACATGATTAATGAATGCGGTGAACGTGTAATCATTCATCAATAGAATAGAGTAAGGAAGACATATTTTTCAATTTGGCTATTGCATAATATTCTGTTTATCAAAATGAAGAGAAAAAAGAAACCGCGAATAAAATAGATTCGAAACAGAAACAAAATAACTATCTAGCTAACAATAAGGACACTTTTGTATGTTTTGTTCTAAAAAAGAATTTTCCCTGGATAATAAAACTGAGATACATATGCAACATTAGGGAAGGACTATAAGTGTTGGAAGACATTGGAAGAAGCAAAAAGGCAATGAAGAAAAAACCCACTGAATTCTTTATCTATCAACAACGACAGTTTATAAGTGCTGAAATGGATCTATAAGAAAATGATAGACGTGTGAAATTAAGCTTGTTCCTTTCATTCATGATTACTGGAACCCATTTTACTATAAGGCGATAGGGCATATATATGGAAGTTAAATTTCTCTTACTTTGCAATAAAGCAAGTAAGTAAACACATAGGTAGGTAGGTAGTCAGATAAGTAAGTAAGTAAGTAACGAAGTGAGTAATTTGACAGATCCACACACATATAAACCTGCATATGCATGTTTTAATATAGGAAAGAGATATAGGATAGTTACAAGTAGTATATTAAGATTATATGACATGTATATTTATTGAGAAATCGAAATGCTGTTATCGTTCGACTGAGTGAATGATTGACTCAACAGAGATGGACAATAGAAGAGAGGAGGCATTGACTAGTTGATGATGTCAGTCAATCAACTGGCTAATCAATCAGCTAGCCGTTATTTGGTCAGTTAGTCAGTCAATCAGTCAGTCAGTTATTTGATTAGAATAACAATATTCAAGTACTCATATCTGATATATCAATATTATCGAAGTCACTGAATCCTGTACAAATCAATTCCTATAAAAAGGGTAGAGAAAAAGCAAAAAGATAAGGTTAAATAAAAGTTCAGTGCATAAAAATGATGAGTGGTATGCTGAATGTAATTATGGGTTTTTCTTCAGAAAAGAGCAGTTTTTATCCTAAAATAATAAACTTACACCACGTTTTATGTAACATGCAATTTCACCCAAGAGTGCAAGTTATATAAAGTTGGTTGTAAAAAGGATATGATTCGGTATTGAAAGTTTAAACTCTGTCCATGAGGAATATGTGTATGCAACAGTGGGTACATGTGAAGGTGGAACTTTGAGTTGTGTTGTAAGTATCGGCGTTCACATTATCATCAGTGTAGTAGTGCAATATTTGTTCCACCTTACCTTCAATTATCCGACATACAGATAACTGTTTGTGATTTATTCTGTGTCTGAATAAGTGATATTTTGTAGATTCGTTACCACACAAATTAGGTAACAGAAAATCTATAATCTTTCATCTACATTCAAAAGACACTAGTACAACTAAGTCCAAAGGAATAACTCCTTTTCCAGGCTTACTTTTAGCAGGGTTTCGAAATGTATCAGCAAGGAGTCGAACCGCATGTGTGGCTGATGAACATTTATCACTGATAGATTATTATCTTGGGATATTTTTGGTGAAATCATAATTACCGATTGAAAACCTGTTCAATAGTGCAATGTGAGAAGAGTTCATGCAGTTTACAACATAGAGAAATACATTCATTTGATGCAGGAAACTGCCTTTCAAGGAATGACTTCATTAGCATGTACACTCGATTAGTCAAAATGTAGATGAGTTTTTAATCAACAGATGCGTCGTACATTTTCAACCCAGTCCGGAAACTATAGAAGAGGAGCTGAAGACCCTGAAAAGAATCCTCCTTGAAAACGGTTACCCGGAACGTTTCATCACAAAAGCTATGAAGCCCAAAACACAAAAACCGTCCATGCTTACTGCTCCCAAGAAACTTCTCTATTTGAATCTACAATTCAACGGAGATTCTTCCGCAGAAATACTGAGAAACCGCCTGTGCTGTTCACTGAAGAAAACCTTCTTCGCAGCTGAACTCAGACTAACTTTCTGTACGAAACCAATGATTCTCACGAACGTAAAGGATAAGCTTCCACTGGGGGCCTCATCAATGTGCATCTACCAATTCACCTGCTTATGTGGAGCTAGGTATGTCGGTCGTACCCAGCGTTTGCTATCCAAACGAATCAGCGAACACTTACCTTCATGGTTTTATAAAGGAGAAAGAAGATCCCCCCGCCACAGCTCTATCCTAGAACACTTAATGGAATCCGGACACCAAGCAAACCCACAAAACAATTTCTCAGTTATCTACACAATACGTGGGAATCTTGCCAAAACAGTTCGAATTAAACTTCTTCAAACTGCAGAAGCAATGGCAATTCACATATTGAATCCTGAACTCTGCATACAAAAGAAGTTTGTTCAGTCACTAAATCTACAATGGTCCTGATCTATCCTAACACCAAATACGTAATTTTGTCTTACCTCTTTCTTCTTTGTTTGTCTGTTTCTTAATTGCATTATTTTCTACCCCCACCCTCTATTTAATCTCTACCCTCATGACGACTGTTGCTAACTCCATTTTCGTTTATTTTTAAGTGAATTCTACTCAGCTTATTAACTTGACTCTCATTCATTTTTCATTGAACCCTATCAATTAGATTACGTCACCCAACCTACTTTTGTAACTTTATTTTAGTTTCTAACCGATTAACGCCTTCTAAATTACGTAATTTGTTGTCGAAAAATTAACAATTGCATTAACACATCTTTGCAAATATTCCTTTTGTTGCCAAGAAAAATTACTATGAATTTGCGGTTTGTACAGCTTGAGAATGATATCGCCGAAAAGAGTAACTCTTTGCCGAACGCCTTTTCTTTTCTATGACTGAATGGGAATTTTCAAATTAATAAATATTTGTTTCAAACTATTTATTCGTAGTTATTAGTTATTTATATGCTCCTTCTAATATATCTTATATCACAGACAATGAGCACAAGACCTATATGCATTCACATGTAAGGTCAGAATTTCAGGTCAAAAGTAGTTCACGTATCCAGCTTCCTTATTTTACTAACTTAATACAAGTAAAAATAAATCTATGTATGCATACATGTTCAAACTGTTCACCTCAAACAGCCATAAGAAATAAATCTCATTACTTGTCATTAAAGTATTTGAAGGAAAATTACAGTAATTTTATATGAACAGGCTGTTATACATACCTCATTCGGATAAGCGATTCCTTCCATATGCTCCGCACCACATGTACCAATGCCTGAACATACAAATGAAAAAAAGTAAAACAGTATGATAAACCGATATCAGTTAGCGATCTAAATTAGAATTAATCAAAGCCCTGTAAACCTACAGTGGTATCAGGCTTACGCTATGTATAAAACCAGAATCTGTTTTTTATTACAAAAAGGTGCTGAATGAAACTCAATATCTGCAGTTTCGGAATGCACTTTTAATAACTGCATGTCAAAAGTAAATAGTTAGTCTGTACCTTTTACTTCTCCCTAAATATAACAGTTAACATTACACTACCTTTGTTGAAGGGTTCAATATTTCATGTTACGTTATTCGAAAATTTTACAATTGTTAATGATGACTATTAGAGTATGGAATATTCAAATTCACTAGTGTTACATTATTTCAGATTACTTAAGTAGTATGGTGTGTATTTGTAAATTTATCCATAATGTTGTCTGTTTCACTATGACAGAGACAATGGAAAGTAATGTATTCTCTCGAGGAATTTCGATAATGCAAAAGATGCCGTTGGAAACTGGACAAAATAATTGTCGATTACTTCGAATTATGAAGCGTTATTACAGCTCGGAAATAGACAGGAAACGCATCAATTTTTGGGCTTGAAACTTTGAGGATCATTTAAAGACGAGAAACAACTAAAAGAAACCTTAAATCTCATCGAATAAGTTCCCACCCGTATAATTTAGATATCATTTTCGAAGAACCATAGCCAATAACATTTTAGGTTATCAGTAATCATTATTGTGATATCATAAATTCGTCCTTTTATTCAGTTAACCTAATGGAGTGAACTAAACTCAACTTTGCATAAAAGGGTAGTACTAAAATTTGCCACACTTCATAAAAGCACACATAAAGGTTAAAAAAATACGAGAAATAATTTCCAGGAAAAAGAATAGTTACATGGAGAATAATAAGAATTTGATGGAAATATGAAATCACAAAGAGTTAATGCGTCTGTGCCATTAACAACAGTTTCTAACCATTGGTTCTTAAAGTCTCAGAAAACCCCATTTAGGCAGCATACACCTCCGTACGTGGCATAAACTAACAGTTAAAAATCTTACGAACTGATGCCATGTTTTGATGTGACTACCTTGGACTCTTTTACAGTCTGATACCATGTCAGCTAACATTATTCAACAAGAAAGGCGATAACTTGACACGCGTAGCATGTGTCTTAACCATCTCAATCGATGCAGCTTCTCAACTCCTTACTGTAAGCCAAATATCATTATTGCTGACGATCACCTGGCACTAAAGATAGGATGCAGACACTGATACCATTAGGGTTAAAATTTATTTTGATAAAGTCTCACAGTAATATTTACTTATGACGTTTCGAGCACAATTTATCGCTCATAATCATACCAAGGCAGACACTGATGGTCTAGATGTTACAAATACTTTTTACAACCAAATGTTTATAAAACAGGGAAGCATTTAAATCAAACTAAGATCAGACCTAGATGAAACATCTTCACAGTGGCACAATAATGTTCCAGTGTTATTTCATCTAGCAAATACTTAAGACTGTATGCATACATATATTTCAACATATCGAGATTATAGGGGCGTCATCTTGACGTAACACTTGTAGAAGTTTAGTTATATATAGCGAACTAAATCATTTCACGAATATTTTGCAAGTCCAATTAAGCTAATACTAATCTTCTACTCTTCTAGTTAATCCTGTCCTACGTCATACAATTTCAACTTATTAACTGCATAATAATTTTTAAAGGAATTCTTTCTTTTTAACACCAGAGTATACAAAGCATTTAATTAATTAATAACTTAATAATAATAAATTAATTAACTAATTAATTATTTAATTAATTGTGTCTTGTTAAAAGAATCAAGTTTCTGTATTTACTTATTTGAACAGAGCTGTAGAAGATGGTTAACTGATCATTCCATATTGGTTTGTTGTGAAATGATCTTTGCATTGATGTTCAACTTTCGGAGAAAAATGTTTCTTTTGCTATTGAAAGTAAACTTCTGACTTAATTAGTTAATATTTCTTTTGTCAAATACTGGAAATGAAACGCTTAGTTTCCAAAGAATTTCAGTAAGATCTGGCCAGTTTCCTTAAAATTATTCAATCTAACTATTCTCTTTTAATAATAAAAGTTAAAGTTTTTCCGTCTGTTGTTAAATCTGTTCACCAAATAAAATCAGTTTATGCTCACTATATGAAATGATGCAGTACGTCAGTGGTTCAGTAGTAGTATACTCGTCAACCACTCATGTTTTCTGAGTTCAACTCCCGGTTGATGCACGCGTAGCCAGTAGTAAGCTCAATAAAGAGGTGATATTGGGCATGAGGCTAGAAACTCCACCCCGCAAAATAGAAACATCAATACTAATGAAACTGAAAAGCTAAAGCTTGAAGACTTATATTCCACTCAGAATGCAGGGGAATAAAAGAAAGAAAATATGAAATGATGCATTTTGTAGAAAGGCCAGTTTACTGACAAGGAAAATGATTTAAACTACATTTTTTTATTCAGTCCTTTATTAACTTTAAATTACTAGTCCTTCAATGATTCTAATCTGGCTGTGACTTGGATTTTTACCTCATCTTCAATTATCATCATGGAGAACATCAATAACAGTTTGCCAAACCAAGAAAGACTATGTCGTATTGTTTCAAGTATCAACTGCTTATTGACTAACTTATAATAATTTAAAAAGAGTAATTAGTTAAGCAGGAGTTGGATTAACCAAGATTTATACCAAATACCTCCACTATGTAAAAGTAACGAAAACTTGAATTAAAGAAGTGATTCTTTGAATTTTTATAAAGTTTACTAGCTTGACAATCGACATAACTTATAAGATAATTGTTTTTGGATCATGGACTCCTCAAGAGAACTCCATTAAGTGGATGTAGGTATATCTAACTGACATATATTCTAAATAACAAATAATTGCGTATCATGAATTTCATTACAATATCACTATGTTTTTACTACAGAAGAATACTCAAAAACTAGTTTTTCTTATAAGTAAATAAATATATATATATATAGTAAGGTAAAATTACTTCACAATCTTGAAAATAAAATGAAAATCTATGAGGGAGTAACACAAGTAGATAATAATAAGTAAATATATATTATTATTATCATCAACCCCTATTTACTTAGTTTTAAGAAAGCAAATTTTTCAATTCATATTGTGTGAAACAGTATGAATGACCTAAGTGACTATACTTAGACTGACTCTATATATCGATAATTTCACTGAATTACAGGATTTTGTTACTTTTCTGGAATAAAATTTAAACACTGATACGCACACGTTTATATACACAACACACACACACACAAATGTACACCTTTGCATATAGCCACGTATATATGATTGTTATTATTACTATTATTTTTGTTTCAATGACCTTTGAGAATTCAGTACATTTTATTTCGTTAGATTACATATTAAACAAAAAAGTTACATTAGAACTGGTTTTGTACTTTTGTTATCAATGTCTTTTACAGTTTGTCAAGATATGATATAGTCTTTGATTATTTCTGTTTAACTTCGTAATGATATTAAGTTATCGTCTATTGGCAATAACGCTTGTATGTGTATCAAATTGCTCACTTTCCTGAAAAATTTAAACACTGATCTGCCTGTACATCATCAATTACACTGATCATTTCTGAATAAATTGAAAATTAGAGCATACTAAGAATCTTAACATTGTACAGGATGAATTCTAATAAAATTGGTTATAAAGATCTTTAGTGTTTAAAAGAAAGATCTCAGGAGAAATAACTTTCTTTTATCATATTATTAGTTTTAAGTGGAGAAATGAATTTTACTCACTAATTAAAACCAAAACAAATAGACAAAATATTCCTTTTCCAATTTTTAAGTTAAAAAAGGACAATTTATAACGAAGTAGTGAAAACACTTCATAAAAAATGTATTTGAGAGGTTTATGGCTGATGGGCGTATATTACCGAAGAAATTATAACATGATCGGTGAAGCTACCTAGCGAACTCCAACGGATATGAGTTTAGTGCGTTAATCACACCGCAAAGCACCACAGAAACAATACCACCGGCATGCGAAGATAAGCAGACAGAAAGTCGAAAAGAGGGATTTCACCACCTCAATCGAATACATTTGCTGAATATTGAATTCACATATAGTTTTAAAGAGTTATAAACCAATTCCAATCAATCCTTCAGAAAAAAAAACCGAAATACAAAAGACACCATTGGTAGGTGAAAACAGCATTCTGGAGTTCTTTTAAGGTTATTGGATAATAACAGATAAGACAGGGTAAAATTAAGGATATATAACACATTATTTTCAGAAAAACACTCTCCTGTTCCCACACGGTGTGAAGTATTCAGAGTGAACTGACTAGAAGTCATACTCCACCTTAAACTTGTACTAATGGGTGCTCATCAGTATGATCTATCTGTCTACCAAATTCCCTTAAAAGTCAAGCATAAAATTACAGTTAATCTCAATGTCAGAAAGTTTATATCATTTGATCACATTTGTAAATCTGGCTGACAAACTTGTACTGACGCCAAGAAGCTGTTAACTACATCGATTACATATAATTTCCTTCACGTTCCCCACTGGAACATAGGGCTTCAAGCTTATGGCTTGAAGTTTCTGTAGCAGTGTTTATTTTACAGGATGGAGTTCTAGCCTCATGCCCAATCTTTCCTCTTCACCAGTATTATTTCTGGCTTAGCGAGGTAAAGGAGTACGTCGGCCGGGGATCTAACCCCGGACCATGTGCATGGTCGGCGAGCGTCCTAACCCCTATGCCACCAACGCCGTATACGTATGGATAATTTAAATTATTACAGCCTGATTGAACTTTATGAAAAACTACTTAGTTTATAATTAAACCGACAGAGACATGTTAGATATAGAAAAATTCGGTGAAACAACTACGTACTTAGCAGTGGGGTTTCATAGCTAAATTGGTAGTGAGCTTCTGCTAATCAGAATCTCATGTTATCTTC